TTTCTCAGTTTTAACTTTAAATTTTGAGTTTTATGTTATCCCAAAAAGTGTTCGGAGACTTTTGGTGACCCTCTGTAGTAATCATTTTTAATAACATCATTAAGAAGGTATTTAACGCATATTAGGACTTATTTTATAATTTTTTCTTTAGATTTTCCTGAGAGAACGTATATGTTAATAACAATAAATTTTTATTTGTTAGGAAATTGTAACTTTGCAAAAATAACTCTATTGAGTTTAGATTCGTATTTAAAAATGTGTTTGGAGAGTTGAGGACTAAAAGATAGGCTGACTTCAAATCCACAAAACTGATTATCACAGTTCTTACTAAAAATTATTAGAAAATTTGAAAATGATCGATTAAAAATTGAAGCATTATTGTATTTAAAATTGGTTTCTTGTAAAACTAGTATATTATAATGATGTATTTTATAAAGTAAAAAAAAGATGTTTTATTTAGTAGGCTCATTAAGTTTTTTAACATTGTATGAGGCTATGGAAAATTTTTTTATTTTAATAAGATTGGAAATATTATTAGGTTCTGTTAAAATATTAGTAGGAATAGTATTTATAATATATGTTATATATTTATTGTGAGAGGCTGCCAATGCAGCATTCTGTTATTTTGTTAAAATATTCATATAAGGGTCAAAAACTTATGTGTTATATTAGCTAATGAGATTTTTATTAATGAGCATAGTTTGGAAGTCTTGATAAGTTTTGAGTAGCTTGTTAATTATTGAAGTGAATTTAGAGATTTGTTGTTATTATTTTTGACAAATAGCAATAAGTAATTCATTAGTTTTTGTCTGTAAATGAGCAATACAGAGTGATGTGTTGATAAATGAAGATTTCATATCTACTTCAGTAGCAGTATCTTGAAGTGCATTATTAAATAATTCAGCTTCTTGTAGGATTGTAACTTTGATATTTAGTGTTTTTTCTACTACTTTGAGGCAAGATTGTGAAAATTTAAGAGCAAAACAAAGATCATTAAGAGTACTAGTGATGGATTTAAATTGAGATGTGACAAATTTCTTAAAATCAGGATTGTGCATTGATTAACCTACTACTGTTCCATTTTTAATATTTAAACTAGGACATACTGTATTGTTAAAGATAGTATTATTGTTTATTGGTTCATCCTTCTATCTTAAGACAGGTGGTTTTTTAATAACTTTACTTAAAGTGGTATTAGGCTTTTTTGGTGAAAGAGGAGAAGAAGAAGATTGTATGTTTTGAGTTTGCAAGTGTCTGATGTTAGAACTCGAAGGATTAGCAATATCAGCAAATGTGATATTATCTCTAACAGTATCACAAGGTTTCTTAGGTGTAGTATATTCATTAAATTAGACTGATTGAAACCTTTGGTATAGGTATTGGATATTTTATCTTTTGAAGTATTTCATTTTCTAAGCATAAGACACATTATGATGTGTTGATAAACAAATGGTACATAGTTTAATTTTTGCGTCAGTTTATTTGAATTTTTTATTGTTAAGTGGAAGTTTGTTAATCGCAATTGTAATATCAGCTTTATCAGATTACAAAAGTAGAAGTATGCATGTTATAAATAATTATAGTTTGATCTTACTCGCAAAACAATCTAAGTAGTAGTGTCAACTATCTTATCAATGTCAAGAAGGTCATATGTTGTGGTATCTCATGAAAGATTAGTTAGTTTTTTTGAGAATTTGAAATGATCTTGAATTTCTTTTCTGTTCTGGTCATATATGTGAATACGAATAGAGTCATTGATAATAAGCAATCTATCAGTCGCTTGAAGAAGATCAAATTTAGCTTTATCGTCAAATGTAATAGTGATACGTTATCACAAGTTTCTAGTTTCTATAGTACAATGTACAATAGTTCTATAATAGAAAAAATTTTTTAATTTGTGTAATCGTAAAATCTAACAGGATCTCAATTACTGTAATCGACTGTGCAAGTATAAAAGAGTGCAATTTTTGTATAACTAGAAATAAAAACGTGGTTTTATTCATATTAGGAATCTGCACTTTACAAAGAGTATCACATTTGTTGGAATCTAAAAAGGCAACCTTGAGAATGTTGATTGAAGGATCAGCAGAAAGTTTTTCACATGTGACTCCAGCAAAAGAAACGTAGTTAAAATAATATTTGTCAGTGATTTTAGTGATTTTTCATTAGAAATTCACTTCAGAGTATTTTTCAAGTGGAAAATACGTAAAAAATTTTTAGTACTAAGAAGTAACACAATGAAAGCTACTGAAGTAATATCAATAGTATTTTCAGATGCGTTAGAGGGACTGATAACATTCATTTCATCTTTTTATTATTGGTTGTAGTTTCAGTAACTGTATCAGTTTCTTTATTTTTCCCTTTATCAAGAGGTAAGGGTGTAGTGTCAGATGTTTAGTCAACTTTCATAGTGACAATAGGAGGTTGTACAATATTAGAACTTTTATCAATAACTTCTTATTCAGTTGTTTGAGTAGTATTTGTTTTTTTTGTAGTGGTAGTTTTTCTTTAATTAGCGACGCAGAACGATTGCAATTGTTAGATTTTTAATTTTTTTTGGCATTTTTGGTGATTAGTAAAAAGAGTTTTTTTTTAATCTATCTCAAGAATTTTTATATAAATTAACCTTTCTATTTAGATCATTTTTATGACGATCAATTTTGTATCTTCAAAAATGATTATCATAAAATTTAACAATGCTGATTTTTTATAGTACTATTTTATTTTCTATTCACGTCAAATATTTACTAAATTACTAAATAAAGATATATTAAAAATTTTTTTTTTAAGAATATTTTATTATTACAAGTAAAGTCAATCCTCTCTAAATACACCTCCTTAGAACTATAATGAAAATTTTAAAAAATGTGTATTTAAAGAAGATGGATATGCATTTAAAGAGAAAATTTCTATTTAAATTCTATATGCTTGAGACTGAATGAGAGCGTGTATTTAGAGAGAAAATATATAGTATATGCAATTAGAGAGGGTGCATTTAGAGAGAATTGACTGTAAATATGTTAACTATTTCTACTGCTATAATAGAAGAAATGTTATAAATACAATAAGTAATCAAAGATTTTATATATGATAAAAGATGAAAATGTAAAATATACAAGAAAGCTTTAGACGCGTTATCTGATCATAGTTACGTCTAACAAGCTCAAGTTTGTCTTAAGTTTGAAGTAAAGTATATGCAATTCTAATTAAGATAGATGGATTGATTCTAGTAACAATTACGTGACATATTGATAACTTTTGAGTAGCTAAGCTACCCACAGCCCTGACTGGCAGTAGTGAAGTTATATCCTTTCCTCAGACGTTCTTGAATAGACTACTATATGTAATTGCTATAGCGCAATCAGATACATACGTTCTAACTGGTTATTAGCTTACGTTTCATATTATAGTCAATCTATTAATTGTTTTTAGATTACATAGTAGTTTCAAAAATGTTATTTAATCTTATATTAACATCTGTTTTCTTAACAAAAAGGATGAGACGTCTTCAGAAAGCGTTGCCATTTTTTAGATAAAAATCAAGAAGATACATATTAAAGAAAGAATTGAAAAAAAATAGGTAAGTTAAGGTTACTATACATAGTATCATTTTTTAGTTTTAACATAATTTAATGATTAACTTTATTTCTTTATAAGGCCACTTGATTATTGCATATCTTTGAGGTAACAAATCAGAATTAACGACATGTCACAGATATCTAATATCAAAATCTCATCAATATATTCCAATTCAATAATAGTAGACAAGTAAATGTTATGTGTTGTTACTGCTCAATTATTTTCAAAATTTTAGTAAATTTATCTAGTATATTATCTAGGATAAGTCAAATTAAAGTAATTTTTTGTGAAAAAGAAAAGATGTAGATTATAATGAAGAGTGAATAATAAAAAAGATTTATCATAATGATAATATTATGCCATCTTCACTTAGTTTAGCAGATTCGCTTTTTAAGGATATCTTAATACCTTTCAAGGTAGATTTTTGATCTCACCAATGGTGATTGACAAAACTTTTCAGTGTCTATATATTATTAATATTTTTTGTTAGTTTAGAGTATAGCGTAAGACTATTTATAGTCTAAACGTGGTGATATAAAATATCTGTCTATCCTCTCGCTCTTTATTTGAGTCAATGTTTATTAGCACACATTTGTTTTACTACTGATCTTAAATTATTTTATCACATAAATTTAACGCTTTAGACTTGTAAATACAGAGAGTAGACAAAAGTATTCGCACACTCTTTATAAACATGAATTAATACTAGAAAAGTCATATGACCGCAATAACAAATTGCGATCATATGACATGTTAGTGTTTATTTATATTATAAACATAAAAACAACAATTTTAATTTTTTTTTAATAAATTTCCTTCTCTGAAACTCTAAATAAAAAAAAATGTTAAAAATTAAAGAATTAACTGCAGAACAACGTGAAGCTATAATTTATTGCTATCAATGTGGTGATAGTTATCAGACTATTGCTAATATTGTTGACTGTAGAGTATCAACTGTTCATGACACTATTATTTGATATTGTAATATCAGATCAACTAAATCGATGCATCATTCTGGATGTTTGCCTTTAATTCTAATTTCACAATAAAATCACCTTAAACAAATCGTGACAAATAATAAAACTAAAATCATCATCTATGTGCAGCTGGAATACAACAGCTTTGGAAGAAGAAAACTGTGCAAGATGTTTCGACTAAGACGATTAGACAAACCCTTCATTCAGCTAGATTAAAAAATTGTGTTATAAAAAAAAAACCATTAATTTCACCAGTAAATATTGAGGTGCATCTTAAATAGTGTTTAAAACATCAAAGCTGGACTAAAGTGGATTGATCGAAAGTCTTGTGGAGTGATGAATCCACATTCTCTCAATTTCAACAAAACTGCTCTAGTAAGGTTTGGCGTGAATTGAAGGATAAATGGACTTTATCCTGTATTACAGCTATAGTAAAATATAGCCCTAGTCAAATGTACTGGGACTGTTTTTCAAGAAAAAATATGAGGCCAATTGTTTTATTGTCTGGAACAGTAACTGGTAATTCACATGTCATCATTCTTCGTAAATATGTTGTTCCGGCCATGAGAAAATCTTTTCTAAATTATGATGGCTTATTTCAAAAAGATAATGCTTGGCTTCATAAATCAAAGGTTGCAATATCTTTTCAAGCGAAAAACAATCTTCGTATATTATCTTGGCCAGCACAAAGTCCCGATCTTAATCTGATTGAGAATCTTTAGGCTGAAGTCAAAAAAACCATCTGAGCTTATAAAAAACCTCTATCTAACCTTGCTGTTCTTGACTGATATGTTAAAAAGGCATGGAAAGAAATTCTGAAATATACTATCAAAAACCTAGTTGATAGTATACTACAATAAATTCAAGCCATGATTGTGGCAAATGGTGACTCAACTAAGTACTAGTTACTTAGTATAAAATTTAGATCTTAATCAGCTTTAAATAAAATATTAATTAACCTTTCATAGTTAATGCAAAATTTTTTAAAGTTTTATATTAAGTGAAAAAGTGTGCAGATACTTTTATCCACCCTCTGTAGTTTACATTATTTAGTGTATTTTATATATAGTGCTAGTAATAAATTCAACAACAAATCTGATGATTTTATCTTAGATGAAGAAGATGATGAAATTATATATGACTGGATAAATTATTATTTTGATAAACTTGAAAAACAATTGAAAATAAAATATAAAGATCAAGTACATAGTAAATTGAAATTTTATTTTTATTATTATATAACTATAATTTACCTTATTATTATTTTTGTATTTTAGTAGAAAGTTAGTGATATTGATGTCACAAAAAAAATTTAGATAGTTTCAAAATAACCTTTTTTATGACATAAAATATGGTATTAAAAAATTAACATAGCATGATACTTTGATCTAAAATATTCTATTGTATATTATTAATATTTTCTATTATATTAGGGCAGATATGCACTTGGAAAATTGAAATCACTCTTGGAAGTACTTTTAGAAGAGTTAGAAGATAATTCTCTAATAAATTCATTTAGATCAGAAGCTTCTAATTAAATTTTATATTATTAGAAGCATAAAATGCATACTATTGTATTAGGACTTTTGTATCAATCATAATTTTTAATTGGTCTTACCTATACAATATCTTTACAGCTGATAAGTAGCTTGAAGTAACTAACCCATTTAAGTTAACAGAACCAGTGTTAAATATTGACTTAGTATCACTATTACATGATATTACTTTCAAAAAATCATTAGGTCTAAAAACTAATATTATAGATATTAAGAAACAGCTTCAAAAACTATTATTAAATCTAGAACACAAGTGTAATAAAAGAGACCAATCATGTATTGATTCAAATTTTGAGTAGGCGGATAATAGGATATCTCATGTAATATGTAGCTAGTATAAGAAATTTTTCTGCTTTATTTTAAATTAATAAATAACTAGGTTAATAGAAACTATTATGTGTCTAGAGCTAAAATCTCAAATATTTTATTTAACAATTAAAAAAATATAATATTAGTAAAAAAAAAATTATTTGTTATTGTTTAAAAAAGGTCTAATACAGTACTCACATAACAATTATTATCACGTGCCAGATAAACAAATATGTTGATCCTTTTGACTTGAACTGAAAAGTCCTTCGCTACACTTCAGATAATAATAGAAAATATAGTCATATAGTCAAATGAATTTTCATTTTGTTAATTTAAAGGAAAAAATATTGAAAAGTTAATCTTTTTTACTATTTAAGGTTGATGATATTTTAATTGTAGCTTCATGTAAAATATCTAAAGACATACATAGATTTCAATATTTAGATCCTTTTTTAAAAATATTTGAAGAATTTAAAAAATAACAGATTTTTTAAATATTGTAATTGAAGTATCAATCTTAAACTCTGAAATAAAATCCATTAGTTATACAAAATTATAAAGAGATAAAGATTATATTAAAGTCAATTTTAAGACACAGAATATTATAAATATTTTGATTAAAAATAAAGGTATTCCTGATCAAATGATATTTTTTATTAATATAGATATATATAGTATATCTTATCATAAAATTTTCTATCATTATATTCACTAATCATTCATTTAAAATTTTAAGTAATACAGTTGAGTTATTCATAATAGATCTTGAATTTGAAGAATTATATTGGTAAAAAACTCTTTTCTCTTTCTTCTGATTTCTGAATTTCAGTAATTTTTTGAAAAAATAAAATTATTGTCTTAAACTTTTATTATATTTTTTATAAACTTTATTAGTTATCTTTATAGTATTACACACCTTACAAAATATTTTTATATTTTAAAAGAGTTTTTTTTATTATTTTTGTTACAAAAATGGTTTATAACAAAAATAAAAAACATTAATGTTTTATTATTATTAAATTAAAAAATATTTACTATTTTAGCTCTCTCATGTTAAACAACTTAAAGTAAATATTTTCTTCTTTTTCTGTTAACAATCCAAATAAATTTTAGTTTCTGATAAGAATATTGCTAATAAAACTTATAGCTTTAAGGAAATTATTTAACCTAATATTTTTAATACTGACAAATATATTTATTTTGATGATAAAAAAATATAAAAACTGATAACCGTAATTTTATTATGATTCCTTTATCTCCTTTTTTACACTATTGCTGTTACTATTGAGAAATCAGTAAAAGATCTTTTAATCCTAAAAATTATCATGATCTTAATTATTTGTTTGCTTATAATAACATGCTAGAGAGTTAAACATTTGTTATGTTAATATAATTAGATTAGCAGTGATCTATTTTGATAACAATGAATTTATACAGGTTATGCTTAATATAAAATTTTCTGATTTAGGCATTGATCATTTATTAAAGTACAAAGCATACAAAAAAGTATATTATATATAATTAATTTCTATCTTAATTTAAAGAAAATAAATCTTTTCTTTATTTTTTTTAATACAGAAAGATTACTAATATTATAATGCAAATTTATAGATTTTGATAATATACTTTTATAACTTTTAATAACTATAAGGTTATTAAATTATTTTACAATTTTAGATCTAAATACATTTTCAATAATTGTGTAAGAGTTTATTCAGCTTTTCTCATTGCAAAGAAAAGAAATGATTATCATATCAAGTTGACTAATCTTTCTTACAAAATATCAGCATATAATAACCTCAAGAAAATCTTCTAGCTATCAAGACTAAATTGATGTATATTTCATGTTTAAATAATTATAAACTAAGATTATTTGCAATTTTTTATTTTGAAAATACTACCATTTTCAATAATACTATCAAAGTTAATTATATTTTTAGTGATAACAAACTTTAATAATACATAATTGACTCTAAATGTTACCATAAATATGATATATTTAATCATATCATTATGAAATATTCTGTAATTCTTAAATTTAAAGCTGCTTTTAAAGATGAAACTAATAATATTAAACTTTCAAATCAAGTTTCTGTTAGTCTAAAGACTATATAATCATTTTAAACCAGCTAAATTTTAATCATTAATTATCAAAATTTTCTATAATTAGATTATTTTAAAGTCATTTCAAGGTCATTTGCCAACCTAATTTGAATGAATTTAAAGAACTTGTAAAAAAATATATAAAAGAAATTTTCTATTGAAATTATATAGGATTCAATATTAATATAAATAAGTATTTTGTGATTTATAGTTTAATAATAAAAAAACGGATAAATACCATCTTTAGTTGTTAAAATAAAATATTTTTAGTAAAGAATTGATTAAGAAAATAAAAAAATTCATTTATATTTTATTAGTTTTACAAGTATTTTTCTTATTTATAAATATTTATTTAATTATATAAAATTACTAATATAAAAATTATTAATCTCAAAATAAGGTAAAATTTTATAAAAGTGTGTATTTTTTATTCAAAATGCTATTAAAGTTAAATTATCTTCTACTACAGTAAATACTATTAAATTTAAGTAAAAACTTTTTATATTCATTTCAAAAATTAATAATTCTATAATTAATTTTTAGATATTTTTCTTGCAAAAACTTGAAAAATAAAATATATTTATGTTAAATTTTATAAATTTTGAAAAAATTTTATTTGATTTAATGAGCTTAAACTTTCTTATAATATTTTAGTAATATATTTGCTTAATTTTAGTAAACTAGAGAAAAAAAAAATGTATAACTAATATAAATTATTTTTTATTTTTTTTTAGCATTTTTTCTTTTTCTATTACAAAGATCTTATATAATTTAATATATTAATAGACTTTAGAATAAGGCTTATATTTTGATCAATATAGTAAAGAAATTATTCTTTAAAATTAAGTTTAATTTATATATTTACTTAATAAGTTAAATTTTAGAGATTAGTTTTTTTTATATCTAAAGATTAGATTTTTTTATTCTTATATTTAAGTAAAAAAAATGTTTTAAAATAGTATTTTGTTTATTGATAAATTATTAGTATATTAGAACTTGATCAAGCAATTTTTTAATTATAAATTTGATAATATTTAAGTTTAATCATATATAAGTTTAATTTTTAACTCATAAGTCTTATCTTATTTCTGTTCTATATTTATATAAAGAAAATAGATTCTAAAATACTTTTCTATATATTAAAAATAGTGATATATTAGAATTGATTCAATAATTCTTAAATTATGAATTTGTTAACTGATTTTGATAAATTTAACCTTCTTAAGCTTAGACTTAGTGAATGTTAATTTATATCAATAATCACTTTTAAAATTAATTTTAGAATATATAAATTATTCATTTTTAGTTTATTTAATATAGCATAAATTTTAATATCTTAGTTAAAATTAAATCAGATTAAAATAACTATATAAAATTATTTAATTTTTTTAGTATTCTAAACTTATTTTTAAGTTAATATATTAAAAATTTTTATATAATAAATTTGAACCTAATATAATTTTAAACATTGAATTAATATATAAATTCTTATTATCTAAAATGTTTTGAAAATATTATTAAAAGCTTTTCTGATATCCTTTAAAATTTTAATAAAAATAATAGTTATATTATGACGTAATAATCAAGTTATATTTGTGTTATCTAGATAATAAAATTATAATTACACTATACATGATAATAAGATTATATCTGTACTACTCAGATTATAAAGTAGTAATTGTAATCTAATATATCATACTTTAATCTATAATTTTATAAAATCTATACTAAAATATTTAAATTAATTAGATTTTATAATAAATTATTAAAATTTAATAAATATTTTAATATATTAAAATAATATTATTAATATAAAAGTTCTAAATAATAATAATATTTATTTATATTATAATAAGCTTAAAATATAAAAAAAGATTTGAAGTTTAATAATAAAATAAATATTAAAATATAATATAAATAATATTATTTATATTGTTAATTGATTTTTATTTGTGATTTATTAAAATTAGAAATAAAAAATATAAAATAAAAATTTTTATAAGTTTTAAATTTTTATTATTAAATAATATAAATTTAGTCTAAAACTATATAGAAAGATTATTAGGAACATTAGTCTTTAGAAATTTTTAACAAAAATTTTGATTTTTATTATATTATAGTTTTGATGTGATTAGATTAAATATAATAAGATCTTATTTTAATCAAAAAAAATTTCAGAGCCTGATTTTTCTAGTAAACTTCACATATATCATTTATATTAAATGATACAAAAATATTTTATTTTTTTTCGAAATTTTTTTATAGTAATAATATTTTATATATAATTCAAGTATATTTTTTATTGTTAATAGATATAGTTATATATATGATAAATTAATTATGATTATAAGTTTAGTTAGAAGATGTGATAAAGTTAATAAAGTTTTAACTTATTATAACAATGGAAAATGAAATTTACAAAAAAAAATATTTACGTTTATATTTTTAAAAAACTTACAATAATGATATTTAATTTAATTATAAAAATTTTATAATTGCCCAATTAATGAACAAAGAAAGTAAAAGGCCGATTCAGTATCAAATATATCTAATAAAAGTTGGATAGAAAGACAATTATTATAAATAAAAAGTTATTATAATTAATATTCAATTTATAAATTAATTAGTTAATATTTATCATAATAATAATTTTGGCTAATACATAACCTGGAATGCCGGATAATGAAATTTATTGATCAACCGTTACCCTATGTAAAGATACCAAATTTGTGTCATTTTGTAGAATTAGAATAAGCGAAAAAAAAAGTGATTTTCGTTAGAAATTCAAATTGAGTTTCAAAAATAGTTTCAAATATCGAATAGAAAATTTTTTTTTTTTTTAGGGAATCGGCAATTAATCATCCTTTTTGAAGGACTTCTTTTGAATATTTTTTTAACTTTATTTATTTGCAAATGAATGTGAATATCCAATTGTCAAAAAATTTTGATTTTATGAAAAAAAAAATATGGAAATGCGGTAAATTAAAATTACTAAAATTGATATCATTGAAAGTACTCATATCGTAAATATCAGTAGTAACGATCTTTTAAATTTGTGATCTTTAATAAAAAAAGATTTTTGCCCAACCGAAATGGAAAGGATTTTGAAATGGTGATGTCTATTCTACTCTTACCATTTTATGCATAATCCAAAAAAAATACTCATCATTTTTTGTCACCTTTTTTTAAAAAAAGGAGTTAAATCTCACGAACAAGAATTTTGTTCAGGAAACCATTTCAAACCATCCAAAACATTAATCGTTCAATGGCATATTTGTTATGGATCATACGTTGCTACAAAGTAATAATACATAATTCGTTCCTTTTGCTAAATTATCTGATAAAGAGCCATTAGAGAAATTGTAAGTAATTTTACTTCAAAATCTGTCGTAAAATTTGTCAACTGAAAATCACATGGTCGAGAGAGAAACAATTGTATTGTTTGTATAAATTTAGTTTAACGTTTAAATTAAGGTTGTCATTCCTTTTTTGAACTCTGGGCCAAGGATTCGGGAATAAAAATGTTTTGAATTAGTTAGTTTGAATTTGTTGTTATTGTGTTAGCACGAGGTATAGCGATATTATAATTACCACGAGATATTATCCACGAGAAATGTCATGAGAAAAAATTACCACGAGGTTTCCGAATTAATCTTATCGGAATAAACTCAAAATCGGGAGAGAATTTTTACAAATAGATCCAGTTCACATTTTTTATAATCTATTAAAAAAATCTAAGGAGTCAAGAAAAGATTTTTTTAAAAAAAAACCGATTAAAAAAAATTAGATTTTAAAAAAAAAAAAAGATTAAAAAGAAAGTTGATTAATAAGAGCGAAATCAAATTCCTGTTAGATTAGATTTTTTTTTTAAAATTTTTTTTTTATTGCCCAAAAATATACCGATGTACTGTACCTAAACGGAAATAAAAAAAAAAAATAGTTTAGACCCGGCAGACTCCGAGATCTTAGTTCCGGAGACCCGATTTACGTTACACATTAATAAAGCATTTCGTCGTACGACATCATCGTCCTTGTTTGTTTACAAAAATAAAATTAGTAGTTCCGAAATTTCTCTTATCAAACACTAGTTCTTCATCACATGAATAAGAAAGAAAACAACTCGTGGCCAAAATATTTACAATCAACTGATTGGTCATAAATAGTCTTGACAACCCGCAGCATCAAATATTTTTCAATAAACTAACGAAAAATTATTAATTTTTTTTAAGCGCGTTCATTCCATTTAGGTTCGATAATCCGTTCTTGTCACCCACATAAATTGAAAGTAAAATAAATGTGACATTTTAATGTAAAAAGAAAATATTTCTGAATTTAGATAATTAATTTACGGAGCGAATTAAACAAATTCCGGATAAACAAAATCCAATGAAAAAAAAATTGCTGCACAAAACTACAGAATAGCGTTTACTCCTGCTCCTGTTTTGAAATGGATATTAAAATAATATCCAAACAATAGAAATATAACCAACAATTCTATTTTCTCAAAATTCACCAAGAATTTCTACAAGTGTATCGAAATTTCCTTGTTTAGGAAAAAAAACATAATATTAGTTTGTGTTTCTGATTTGAATAAGTATGAGGCTGTGCAGCATAGGCAAGAAACGCATATAGTAAGGATTCTTTTTTTTTTTCAGAATAAGGCTTATTTGCATATGGTCGGTCCAATTGCTAACCAAAATAGGTGCCAATCAAGTGACGGAATAATGGATTTATTGTTTGTTTTACGAACATCCTGAAACCTGGAAATTATACGGTGAAATTTTCACGCTACTGCGCATCTGCTGATCATGATCGCATCGGTTTTACCTTCACATTTCAGAATTTCTTGACCTCGTTCGCTTCATGAGACCAAGGAGAATAAGAAGCAACCGGCAAAGCTTGAGAACATAGAACAAAGTTGCAAGATCTTAACGCATGTATGCAAGGAGCATTCAGGGAAAACACGTGACCAAGTTTTTATTGAAAAAGTGTTGATTCGGGGATGTTAAGGATGGGTCTCAGGGAAGACGATAAAGAATCCCTTTGCTATTGCACATGCTCTACATCCAAGGGCGTGCGAAATGGCATTCACGGTAGATCGCCTCCGCTGGAAATCTTCTCCCTCGACGATTAAATGTCGTCAGGATTTGTGAGTGATCTGGCTGCGGCACATGACATTCGATGACCCCGTGAGTCCCACATGATACAAAATCAAATTGGGAACACACTATAGATAACGCTCCGAGATCGTCGCAACCTATATATTAAAAACCTGTTGATGAGCAATTCCTTTACCATTTAGAGCAACCCAACAATGTTTTTTGTATGGGCTAGAAATTTTTTTTTTTAACGAGTCATAGGCTTCGTTTATTCGAATTTACCATTTAGCTTCCTCTCATGCATAGTCTCCCTACTATCTTCATTAAAAATAAATGAAACCTGGAGTACAATTACGCGTACCTACATTCATTTTCTTCTTTTACATTTAATTTGTTAGACAACACACTTTCTTATCAATACCAAAAAGGTTTTATAATAAAAATTTTTATTACCTGAAACAAAATCCATGGAACAAAAAGGATAATTAACGCAAGTACGTGGAGATAAAAGCGACTTCTATAAAAGGAAACTGTCAATACCGTAAATCTTAAAAAATAAAATAAAATATAAACATAAATATAAAAATAAAATAAAATAAAATAAAAATAACGTAACTTTCACCGAGTCTTCGCCGAGTCAGATCCAAACTCTGTGCCACACTCGTGATTACAATATTTACTATGTAATCATATGGTTGCCATATATGAAAAATTTTTTTTTGAAATCCCAACTCGATTGAAATTTTTGATATCCGGAATTTTATCGTAACCAATAGAATCATGTGAAAGGTAAAAAAAAGTCAACTTGATTTTAAGAAATTCCTGCTTATTTTTTAATGATAAGTCATTTGATCGTGCTTACAACTTATTTTCTCTCATTTGGCGCAATAAAAAAAAAAAATCTTCCAATCCCACCTATCCACACATGGCTTAGCGTCAATAAATGCTAACCTACAAAAGATTCCTTTAATACGTTGGAAATGAGCATCAAACAAGTTTTTTTTATTTTCTCGGGTAAATTTTTTATTCACCTATAACGGAAGGACATCCAATAAACCATAATAAAGTTCGAAAATGAACTCTTGACGAATCATAACCGCACGTTTTTAATTAAAGTTTGTTTTTTTTTGTCTATGACGAATCATTTTATGCCTTGTTAAAAATAATCAGAATAGAGAAAATAGAAAACAAAAAAAAAAAAAAAAATCTAGTTCAAAGAAGTGCAGTTCTATTTATTCCATATGCGGGTTCATTACCCCACCCAAATTCGGATTTTTCAAGCAACACAAGATCTTCAACCTATAAGAGTGTAGTTTTAATAATTTCCAAGAGAAAGCCTTGCAAAAATTATTAATTATTTATCAAGAAATCAAGGGTTACTTACAGGAATAATGAACAAAATCTTGATCCTTTACGAGAATGAATACAAATAAATAAAGTGGTTACCTGTTGATTATTTACTTTGATTAAAAGATTTTTCTAATTTAAAAAAAAAAAGACAAGTAAATAACGCGCTTTTTTTTTCGGTTCGAAGGGCGTAGTACCAATTTGTTTTGCTAGGTTTAAATCACACTGGTCTTGAAAAATAAGAAAACTTGCTAAACCAAATAAAGAGCGCAAAATACAAGCCTTGACAAATACTACACAACCTTTTAGTAGCAATATCCGATTATTGTGGCGTTCTCCAATTACCCTTTTATGCTCAACGACATGACAATCACTTCCAGACAATAAATACAAAAATCGATTAAGGTTTTTTTTTTCGCCTCGTTATCTTTATGCATTATCCATTTTTTTTTTTTTTTTTATAAATAAATGATATTCAATAACGCATTGATATTAAAAAAATTATTTATACACTCGGTTATTTGACACATGCATACAGATATATATTTTAATAACCCCACATTTTTATATACTTGAAACTCATACGTGATGATTAAAAAACTTTAATCAGTATTAATTGGTGATAAGATAACTGATTTGATTTAATCTAAATCGTTTTAACAATGTTGTGTGGGATTTCTTTTGAAAATTTGAAAAATATTGTATTATTCTATAAATGGTTAATCATTGGATTTTGTTATTTGTAAGAAGAAAAGAACAAAGGCAAGCAAAAGCAAAAAAAAAATCACGAGCAAAAAAAAAAAAAAAAAAAAAAAATCTTGAAAGCTTAATGTGACAAACAAAAGCATAATAACTATATAAAATATCATTCACGATCGCTCATGTCCATTCCTTTTTGTCCCACATGACCAACGATATCTCTGATATCCTTGCCTAAAACTATCTATTTGGTTAAAAATTATCGATTTCATCGATAGGATAATTTCATTCAAATTTTCAACGGACCATCTGTCATATTATACCTCCGGTTAAATAACATTCAACATTCAAAATCGGTTACTAAAATGAAAATCACCTGATTCATCATTATTTTTTGCTATTGGGGGGTTTTTTTTTTTTTTTGAAGAAAAAAATTATTTGGTAAAGTCAAAAATAAAAAAGTGTTTAGTGAAAAAGATCTAGATTATTTGATAAACGGATGATTAACGGGAATTGTTCGTTTCAACATTCTCTTGTTTATGTTTGTCTTTTTTGACTCGGAACCAAGAGTTATTGGATTAATTTGTGGGTAAAATGTCACTAGGCTCATTATGGTATATCCCTTTACCCTGGACCAGTCACGTTCGTTTCACTAAATATAAACAGTAAATTTTGTTTCGAACTAATGATTTTTTTTTTTTAGTCAGCGATTGTGGGTTTTACGTATTATCATCTCAAACCTTTTTTTTTTCTTTTTCTTGGATCCTTCAAGAAAAAAAATTTACGTCTTTTACACGTTTTTTACTGAATTTGTCTCGCGTGGTTCTCCCTAACGTTTGATATTCCGTTGATGATTTGAATAAAAGTTATCATGTGAAAAAGTGAGAAGTGTACCAATTATTAGGTGCAAATTAAATTCGGCGCAGTTCAAGAGATACTCCAACACCAATTAAAATTAAACTCTCAAACTTCCAGCCCCTCGTTGATTCTGTTCTTTACACAGAATCTTATATAAACGACATTACGAAACCAATACAGATTAGCGTTGCTGTCAAAATATTTGTATCTCACCAAGTTGTTAATGAATAATTTGTATGTTGTTCCATAAAAGGTCCATTGTAATTCTCATGTAACGGGATATAGGAATTTAATTTAATTTAGTAATATTTTTTTTTTTAAAAAAAAATAAGCCTGGGATTATTATTACATTAATTAATACATTTTATTAAAAGATATTAGTAAACAACAAGCTAATCTGACTTTAATAAAAAAAAAGGTGAACATAACAAACAAAATAATAATAAATAATATCAATGTTTCAAAAAACTTGATTTTCCTTACAAACTTGATTTCCTCGTTAAGAAATTATATACTACCGGTATATGTGTGTTGAACTGGATACTAAAAAGTATTAAGAATCATATGACAGATTAGGGCGTTGGCAACCAACGTTGATTTTAGGAACTCACATGAGTATTCGTATACATTAAACACATTAAACTTACTTTCACAACAACGAACTTTTTTTTGAATTGTGAAACTGTGAAAAAAAAAAAGAGCACTCATGTGGTATCAATTCACCGCAGCAAGTACAACAAAAAGTCAAGATACCGTGTAACGATTCTACATAATTAAGAAGTCATGCGCCATCAACATGTGTAAAGCTGATTAGAAGGCTGAAAACGTGTTTTGTAAATAATAACAATCATTGTTTCTAATGCGTGAATTTTCTTTTTTCTTTTTTTTGTAGTTGAAAAAAAAAAAAAAGATAATGGTTTTAGCTTTGACAATATGACGATGATTAATGATGCGCTTATTCTCCCTCATCATGGTGCATCGAAAGAACAATAAGAAAATGAATATCTAAAAAAAAAAAAAAAAAAAAAATTTTATACATATTGATTTGTGAATTAACGGATAATTTTGAAATAATATTAAAAGGCATGGTTACATAACTGCATTCTTTTTTTTTTTAAAAAAAAAATATTTCCGTAAACACCGAGTGTGAATCTTATGCGCAATTATGAAAATTATGCGCGCGTGTTTTGCATTTTTTTTTTTTGTAATAACAAACCGTTATCCCGAATTCTTAGATGGGTGGAATTTATTAATTATTTGTTCAGTTCATGCCTAACAATGATCTTGTGACAAAAAAAGTGAAGCACGAGAAACAAATAATGAAGCGAAGAAAGAAAAAAAAAATGATTTTTTTTCCCTTACGCAACTCATAATAATATGTTCAGTGCTCAGATGTTATGATACTCATAATAGGATATGTAATTCCGATTCTAGGAAAATTAATAAATGATAAGATGATGTGGAGTAACCCGTTTTTTTGACTTTAAATGCATTCTTTCCTAACTAGTTTCTTTTTTTCCTAGCTTGATTGGTTAATGCACGATTTTTTTCTTTCATGCTAGATAGCAAAACGCCATCATGTTTTTTTAAAAAAGGAAGGAAAAAAAAAAGGGTTTTGGAAAGTACCGTAATGTAGATTGTAGTTCCATCAAAGTAAAGAATTTTGTAACCGAAAAAAAAAAAAAAAGGGATTATTTATAATTATTTATTTGAATGCATAAAATCGATAAATAATATCAGAAATAGATGATCCATAATAATTGGGTCTGGTGAATCAAAAGATACGTTTTGAAATCCGTCATAGTTTCATAAATGATTTACATAAACATATCGGCATGGCGGGTCGTAATTACTAAACCTAATCATCTAATCAACGAATTTCCTAGCTAATAATATATCCATTTATTAGATAGCACAATGAATTTACTAACTTTAATAATCATTTTTAGCATTTTTTTTAAATCCAACATCTAAACCTAAACAAATCAACACAATGGTCATACAGAGAGCCGAGTTTAGGTACTACAAAAAAAAAAAATATAAAGTTTTTTAACTTTTACTCATTATTTTATCAGAGAAAGTAAATGGCGTACACTTCACTTTTAATGGGTTGTCTCACTAGAATCAATCACAAGCTCGCTCCTTTCTTTACAAGTTAGGTTTGTCTCTCACGTGCGATGTCGATTTTAACCGCGAAACATTCATCACAAGACACATGACGCTACCCGTCATGGGATTGGATTCAATGGAATCCACCATGTGACATCGTGATTTTTTGAAGATTCGTGATCAGGTGATTCACAACGATGCTTGAAACGGACAATTTTCTTTCGGGGATTTATATTGTTCCTTTTTTCGAGAATATAACGGATTAATTTTTACATTTCATATGAAAATGACCTTGAATTGAAGTTATGAGCATGATTTTCCTTGCCTCGTGATCCTTTTTTTTTTTTAAAAAAAAAAAAAAATGATGAAACTTTTGGAATCCTCGGTGAGAAAAATGAACCAAATTCGATTCACAAAAGCATTACAAACTTCTTAATTTATATAATTTAGTTTTAGGTTCTTTCTCGTTCTGAATTAATTTTTTACTTGTCCACGAATGTATTATTTGTATTAACTTGTTTACTATTTTTATTCATTTTTTTTTGTATGTTTATGGTGCCTCAAAATTTTTGTTTCCCTCGACGATATAACATTGGTCACAAAATCAACTGCCTTAAACTATTAGTGCATATTTTTTTATTTCGATGTTTTTTTTGTACATCATTTGAATGTATATTAGTAATGACAATTTAGTATATTATATAATTTAAATTAATAAATATCATTCCCGATAGTCATTCGTTCGTCATTCGTGTTTAATGATTTCGGCCAAACAAGTCTTTGAGATTTTTAATAATTTCGATTTGCGAACCAATCCTCTATATCCTAAAAAAGAGGATTTTTACCGTTACAAAATGAAAAAAAAAAAAAATGAATTTATTTATATTTAAAAAAAAAATAAATCCCTCACACACACAGATTTTTTATTGTTTTGCGTAAAAATTTATATTCGGCAAATTAATTTCATGATGATGTTTATGTGAGATAAAACAAATCTCGTGTTTTTCAAATTATCTAATGATGATATTAAGTCAATTTCATGTATTTCATGTATATTTTGGCTCAAGTGACATACAAATGACATGCTAAATTTCCATATTTATTCCCAAAGATCCAGTTTTTTTTTTTTTTTTATATATAAATTTTAAGGGCAAGGAAGGTATTTCATTCCCTTATGGTAATCACCATTTCTTTTTTAAATTAGCTCGTGATCCTTTTTTGAAATCCAAGTTCGAAATCCAAGTTCGAAATCCAAGTTCCGAAATCCATTTTTCGATTTATCACTCACATATCCGGATTAGTGTAAACCTTCATATAAATTAATTTAGGCATGTCACGTTTCTTAATTCTAACCAACCCTTCTGACCTAATCAAGGCAATCTGGTCATCAAAAAAAAAATTTTTTCTCCATAAAAAATAAAAAAAAAAAAAAATATCTTTAGGAATCAGTTGAATTATAACTCGAAATTAATGCCTTGTAACGTTTTCATTTTCTCAAATTTAAGAATGAACGAGAAATTCATAACGAGCGTTCAGAAAGTGAAAAGCCATAAAAATAACCTGTTTTTACTGTTTTTAAAATAATAAATAAATAATAATCATAATAATAATAATGATTATTTTTATTATTGTGATAGAGTATATAGTAAATATAGTACGACACTTTATTTATAGGATTTTTATGGATGTTGACAGTTATTTTCGAACTCGCAAAAAAAAAATATAAAAAAAAATAAAAATAAATTATAAAGTAAAAAGTAAATAAATAAAATCAATCAATCAAAAAAAAAAAAAAAAATAAGGTAGTGATTTGAGACGATAACAAGATAAAAAAAAAAAAATCTACTCTTTCCATTTGACTTTTTGCTTTTTGTATGTATTTTATCACAAAAAAAAATGATTTGTCACCACCAAAAAACATTATTGATAAAAACCGGTTTCCCTATTAAAAAAAATTTTTTTTTCTGCATTTTACCATTTCTTACCATGAATGAATAAAATAAATATCCGTGAAAAAAATAATAAAACGAAAATCATACCAATTTACCAACAATGAAACTGTAAACAATATATTACTTGCATCCTTTTACAAGTGATGAAGAATAAAAAAAAAAAAAAAAAAAAAAAAAAAAAAAAAAAAAAAAAACTCTCTAGTTATCAAAGAATCAAAGATTGTAATGGGGTGGGGGTGAATATAATTCGTAATTCGTATTGGATTCCTCAAACAAAAGAAAGATTGATAAAACTCATTCAGTTTGGACTAATTCACCTTTGTTATTGATGTTAGTCTTGATATCTACGAAATCAAATTCATAATAATGGCCACATGACACAAAGGGCACAAGACAATTATCACATAAAATTTTTTTTTTTTTTTTTTACTATATATAATTTTTTTTTTATTATATATATATATACACACGTTTATTTATATTTTGCAACTCCCATTTTACAATAGTAATATATATATATCACTGATTTCTTATTTGATTGCATTAAATCGAAAATGTTATATTGTCCTTTTTTTTTTTTTTTTTATATGGACTATAGTTATTTGTTTTTTCATAACATAAAAACCCTCTGAAAAAATCTCCAAAACCATTAAAACCATTTCGTTTCTTCAAAAACCAAAATACATAATATATTTTCTTTTTTTTTTTTATTTTCTTTTGTAAATTTTTTTTCCTTTTATTGTACAAACCTATTTTCTCACAAAAAAAAAATAATTCAACGATAATAATAAAATTCAAAAATGACTTGTATTTACAAATATAATGATACCGCTGCCACTTCTTCAACGAATACCACTGCACCTTTATCACAAACTGCAGCGACGCATATCGTCGATAACGTTGACGTCTCCGAAGAAGATATCCCTTGTGGTGTCTCTACGGAATATAGACCATATAGGCCTCTCCCAAGTGTCATCACAGGTAAGAAAAATATTGGTCACAAACTCTTTGAAAATAAAGCCGTCCGAACAATTACTTACCTAATTATATTCCCCCAATCTGGTAATGTGTAGATTTCATTGCGGAAAGCATGTGCGGGATCCTTGAAACCCATCAACCACCAAGATACCTCAGTTGGAACTTCGTACCATTACCCGAGCTGGTATTTTTCGTAGAAAGGGTAACCTTGAGAGCCAAGGTCGATGTGTACACCGCGTTAGTCGCTTTAATTCTCGTCTCTCGTCTTAAAAAACGCTTACCAAGGAACGCTCACGGTGAATACGGTATGTTCCCCTTTTAACTGTTTTTGTGGCGCTTGTGGCGTGTTCTCGACGTGCGCTTTTTTCGTTTGGGTGAAACTTGTTTAAGTTTAGCGTGACATTTTGTTTCGCTTTTTGAGCCCAATAATTCCTGGATCAAAATCACTTACCCGGCAAAATTTTCCATTCCATGATATCATTCAGGCACGTGTCATAAAATTTTCATCTCGGCGATATTGGTCGCATCCAAGGAATTCATGACGAGGCAAACTTTACAGAATAATGAAACTGAATCGCAACGTTTCTATCCTTCGGCACCTGTCACATGCCGTGCAACCTCCTCATCGTCACCGATCACATCAGCAACGGAAAGCATATCATCATTATCCTCGGATCCAAGTTTATGTTTGTCGGATTCGCCCTCCGAATTCGTTCAATCGCTCAGCAATAACATCTTATCAACCACCCCATCATCAACCGTGTCGTCTCTATCATCTTCCTCATCAATATCAGAGGATGAGATGTTACCCGGTACTCCGCCACCAGCTTCGCCGCCTTCAACACAACATCATCGCGGAAAGCGTCGTCGTCAGTCGATAATAAATAAAAAATTGGCCGAAGTTTCGGGGATCTACACCCTAGAGGAGGTCAATCAGATGGAAAAATCGTTCATAAAACTTTTGGGTTCAAATAATATTTGGGTCGATGAAAACGACGTGCGTAATTTTCTGGAGAAAAATAAGTACGCTTTGGGAATTTGTGAAAGGAGCATTGAGAGGAATTCATGAAGGAATTTGAATGGGTCGAAAGCGAATGAATGGAATTTTTTTTTTTTTTTTTTGGGTCGATTAACTGGGTTAATTTTTGTAATCAACCATCCTCTTCCCCTCAACAACATCACATTTTTTGTATTATAAATTTTCTTTCATATAGAAGGCAACAACAAATTTAAACATTTTTTTTTAATCACACATACTATCACAAAGAATTGAAATTGTCAGAGTTACAATCACACGCGATCATACAAACCTTCGAGCCTAATTGTAGATTAAATTAATATGGCTCCGTTATATATTGTGTCTAATTTTTTTTTTTCCTTAATTTTTTTTTTCTTATAATACTAATAATATTTATATGACACAATTTAATTTTCCCTTTTTTTTTACATACTAGGCACAACTTTATTTTTGCAACATTCACCTCATTCATTACATTTGAAATTTTCTTTTTTTCCTTTCTTTTTTGTAAATATTTTTTTTATAATTTCTGTTGCCAAAAAATTGTTTGTTTTGAGGGGTATAGGGTGGTTCTAAGGATGAATTTGTGAAGGAAATTAATTATATGTTAGTTTTTTTGAATGAATAATATTTTTTTTGTTTTTATTTTTTTTTTTTATATAGTTTTAGTGGTTGTCCTCGTTAGGTTTATTTTTAATAACATTTTTTTTGATTAAAAGATATCCGACTGTTATATTATTGATCCCTTTATTTTTTAAAAAAAGAAAAAAAAAAAAAAAAAAAAAAATTTTTTAACACGAAAAAATAAAAAAAAGTTACTTGATCAGAAAACCTGAGTATTTTTTAAAGTAACGATCATCATTCATAATTTTTTTTTTTTTTTTTGGTCAATGTAAAAGACTTTCTTATTTGAGAAACTAGTGCATAACCACGGACATTTTTATTTTTTATAGGACACTTTATTAAATATAAATCTCATGACTAACGCACATAAATTACACCTACATTCCTTACCTTAACAAACCCTTACATAATTTTACATAACGAACGAAATCATTTGATGTCGACCTAATTTCTTTCACAAATAAACATTCATGACATCACACCTTCTTTTCGAAACTTCGAACATGACATGAAAGGTAACATCAATGGGTAAAAAAAAAGTGACCTTTGATAGGCCAAATGTGGTTCTACCTTACATCATGATATAAAATGGTCTAGTTTGTAAATAAATATCTTGATGGGAAAATGGATACATTCGCTTTTAGGAAAGATATTATATTTGCCTCACTTTTTTTTTTTTATCATAATAACAAATGAACTTTTGTTTTAGGTTAATCTTGGTTACACGGGATATGCCCCAAAACCTCTCTTTATTATCGTAAACTGTTTGATACTCTCTTTCATGATTTCCAATAAAAGGTTTATAGGATTAGATGTCTTGTGCGTGTCATTTTTTAACGCCTATTCAAAAGGAGATCCCGGTCGTATCTTTAATACTTTCGAATTTTGCGACAATAATGAGATGTAATGTAGGTTATTTCCTAATCACAGTGCTTCAATAGTATTCAAATTGGTTTAATATTAAACTTTATCGAATGTGTGTTACGATTGATTGTGATTAGAATCATTGGGTGAATCACCTACGAATTACTAAAATTCCAGCCCCAACACTTACCACAGACCACTTCATGGACCTTAACGTCCATCATAGATAATTTGCATTATGCATAATAATGTACGGTGCATTTACATTGTACGAAGCATATACAAACATGCAATCATAAAAGAACTTGCTGCGCACCTTATCAAATGTTGTATTGTGATTAAAAAAACTTTAATTCCTATTTTAGCACGTCTCCTCATAAATCCATATTTGGAGAGTGTCCAGAGTATTCATTTTGAGAAGGGGTGGGAGAGTTTACTTTTCCTTTTTTCTTTTTCCTTTTTTTTTTTTTCATTGAGAGGTTTTTTATTATGTTGAACACTTATCTTTAATATCTAGGCTAAGTTCTTTTCTTCTAAATTAAGTGAAATAACGTCTAAATCCGAGTAATAAAAAAAACCCATCCGCATGTATACCATTATAATCCCCCCCCCATTTTAGTTCTTTTGAATAGGAAAAAAAAATCGAAAAAGGGAACCTTTTTTTCTTCTTTACGAGGGTAACCGATGGGTATATAAAATTTATGGTTTTTGTTTTTCTTTTGTGCACATTCGCTCATTTAATGTTATAATGAACGTGAGAATATAAATTCAATCCTATAACATGCATTAACATGTGATCCGAAGAACTTGGAAAACTTGACGCGCCCAATCAAGAAATCAACGAGAAATTTATCATCTGTCCCAATTTGAATCAAATGGTCAAACGCTAAATCGGTAAAGCTCGACAAAAAGGGATCGAGAGGACCAATGGCGTTCGCAACAGACCATTTTTTTTATTTTACGTAGGAAAAACAAAAGGTAATAATTACAAACTTTTTTTTTTTTACTTTAATCTTTTTATTTATCACAGATTTGGTATTTGCATATGTCAAATTTTTCCAAAAAAAAAAAAAAATTTCGATTTTTTTGGTTGTTTGGCATGCTTCCAAAAATAGGTTGCTTTTCACAAAAAAAAAAAAAAATTTACACAATGAAAAAAAAATTCACAATTCTTAAAAAAAAAATGTGACACGTTCGATTCATAAAGTCAACATTTTACCCCGCAGAAATCAAATTTTATAAACATCCTTGATCATTTATGGAAGGTGTTGTAAGTATCCGAGAGAAAAAAACTCTCACCATATAATCAGCTTATTTCCGAATAAACATCAATCAATTTTTTTTGATTAGAAATTTGATTGTCTCAAACAATGAACTTTTTTTTTTCTTTTTTTTTTTTTCTTTTTTAGTTGGGTGTAATACACATTCTTTTTTGAAGAAACAAAAAAAAAAATTTTTTTTTTAACAATATTAATCCGATCTAGAATTGTGATAATTAACAAAAAAAAAAATATCTAATCTATGATAATTTGGCAAAAAGGCCAGAAATATTTGCTCTATATGGGGATGTTATCAAAACTCTGGATTCACAAAGATTGCACTCGTTACACCAAAGCAATGGACACCCAGACGCGGATAAATATCTTATCTTTATTGAGCCACTCGGGACTTAAATAAAAAACGCCACTTGGACTTTTATTTATAATTAAAAGAATAAAAGAATATGATTTTTTTTTTGATTTTTTAATTTATATAATTTTTTAAAATTTACTGTAACATGATCATTTTTAAGTGACTTACTTAATTTATCATACAAGTTCTTGAACTGGTTTTATGAGATGCAAAAACAATGACATTTTATGATAATAACGATTTCCTATTATCTGATCATATTAACTCGGAGATAAATTTTCACTTTTACAGAAAAAATCATGCGCGCAGTCAGTATTTTTCGATATAATCAAAGATCTACTTATTAAAGACCTCTTCTATGTTGATTCGAATTTTCCTTCTTTTCTTTTATATCACTTTTAGTCGTGATAAAATTAGGAACATTCGATCCATAATCATCATCAGGGTTGAAAAAAATATCATTATTTGACTTTGCTTTGTTCGTTATGCCAAGCACACATGCATATGGCATATGTGCGTTCTTTTTGCTTTGGTATATCACAAGGTCAAATAAACGTTTATCACAAATATAACAGATGGTGTTTCCTTTTTCGCTTTTGTAATTTTAGATCAGAGATTTTATTAATCACACACGTTTTTTGTTTATTTTGAAGCTAGTTGTACCATTATTAAAATAAAAACTGTTATGAGTTATTTACTAATAAATTTCATTTAAGATCTAACATGTAGAGTAATTAATTGGCTATAAGGTGATGACGGGAGATATACTGTATATATATATCTCTCGTAAAAAAACTTTCGATTCGGTCATTCGCGAAAATCACGGAAATTGGCGACAACGTCAAATACCACTTGGTGTTTCCAACTTTTTTTTTCTTTTTAAAAGGGATAATCACCATCAAATTCATCAATTCTTGGATGTACATTGTTACTTTCCTGGATAATATAATAATCTTGAACAATTCTGGTCCCGTCAGGACCACTATATTTGACCAAAATCATCTCTACCTATGATTGATATCTTTCTTGTGCACCGATAGTTCCTACCATTTTCGGTTCAAATAGCAATCGAGTTCTTTTTGCTGCTTGACCTTTAGCTTTTGCATATTTAATATTTAATATTGTCAAGAATTTCTTGCATGTCCGCGGGAACAATTTTAAAAAAGTGAGCCTTTTTTTTTGGTTTTGTCACTAATTTTTCCAATCTAGTAAGAATTGATTTGGTTCGAAAAGACCATTAGTTAAAACACTGATAACTACAGCAGGTTAGTTACTTTTGATGTTCATTCCCTTCACCTAAATGGGTTAGGAAGAACCAAAAAAAAAAAAAAAAAACGATTAGTAAAAGTAATAAAAGACTAATCAAGTTTACCGTCAATTGTGAATTTATTTTACTTCATTAGAGTTTTTATAAACAGTAACTCACTCTTTTCTTCATCATTTAAAAGTGAGACCGGTAAAAATAACAAATTTTGATTACATCAACTGTTAAATCGAATCATTAATGATCTTAAATTATTTCAATATCTAAAGGTAAAAGATTAAAGAAGCGTTAAAACATGAAATAAAACAGGGAGGAAGATTTTAAAAACTTTTTACTTTTATATAATAATTACTGTCGGTGGTAGTGTTGTATTTCGGAAAACAAACATAAATTAAATCCAAAAAAAAATTATATTATTTACCTGACATGCGCATTAATTCATTCGTATCTATTTTTAAAAAGTATTACAATATGATTTATCACCAACTACGTGATTACCTTTATGCCCAGATTTTAAAAGACATCTCTCCATGTCTAAAATTGCGTGCGTGTACCTTGCTGTAACCATAAAATCAATCATTGAGTTATTGGGACTAACAAATTTTCATTAATAGGCGAACTTTACTTTTGAAAAACCTAATGAAAAAAAAATCTTAACATACTTATT